CGAAGTTTTGTTATGGCTACTATTTTATATCTTTCCGGGCATTGGTTATCATATTTTAGAAGAAATTTTATTTTACATTTTTTACTGCAACCAAATGCACAATAATTATAAGCATGACGAATTCGCCCTAAGAAAAATAATTAAACATCATATTTCTGCTGCAAATCTCAAAAGAATATGTAAAATATATATTACAGACAATGAAAGACCGCAAACCTCATTAATTCTAAACTATCGATGGCAAATAAAGTGTACAAATTTCAATGCACAGTACAAGACGATGTTTCTTGTCATAGATTTATATCGGACATACTACGACCTCCTTGAGTAGACGGCACACATGTCATTTATCTGATCAAAGTGCTATATAAAAACATCTAGCTACTCAAATGTTACAAGAACCATTAAGAAAAAATCTGGTCGAAAACAGTGAAGTTCTATATAAAGCACATTACCGGAAACTTTTAGAAAAGGACTGTATATAAAACATCTCGCTTCCACTATCAACTTCACCTTATTTTACAATGAGAATGGCGTGTTGAAAAAAAAAAAAAACTAGAAAGATTTCCACTCTGATTCTTGTCGCGCTCCTAGTATTCAAAATAATACAAAAAACACATCTTAAACAGTCAAACAGGAATAGAAATAAAGGTACCTAAGAGAGGTTTTTTTGAAGATGGCTTAAGGAATGGGCGAAAGTGCTTGGGCAATTGACAATACGGACAATTTCTGTACTCCCTTCCTTCCACCAAACAGAAAATTGTAAAAATGCTAGAAAAAATAAATATAAAAATAAATAAAAATAAAAAAGTAAATTTCCTTGTCTGTCATATTCAATGAAATATATATATATATATATATATATATATATATATATATATATATATATATATATATATATATATATTATAATAAAAAGAAAGAACAGTAAGATATATAATCCGGTGTTCTTAATTGATACTTTTATTTTTAAAAAGTGCTCAATGTAAATTTGCAAAGCATAAATATTATAAATTAATAATTAATATGGTTTTTTGCTACACAGTAATTACCATGTTTCAAAAACCGAAGCTAAAAACTTTCATCCTCAAGCGAATCAGAACTAATGCTATTAATTTAATTATATAATTAAAGTTTTTAGCTTCGGTTTTTGAAACATTGTAACTACTGTGTAGCAAAGAAACCATATTTTAAATCAGTTTATTCATAATATATATATATATATATAGTCAAACCTAGAGAGCCAGACAAACCTACCAAGGTTTCACCCAAGCGGATCGTCAGGGAAAGCTTTGGACCTGTATGCTGTACGATTATTTTCGACAGGCGTTCATGTTCCTAGCTCTTTCCTAGCTTTTTCTTTTTTTAAAACCATTTTCCTTCGAAATTGATTTGATCATTAGCAAATCAAGAAACCGAAGGTTTTCCGAGACGAGTGTAGTTACCGATATATATATATATATATATATATAATGTCATCCACAGACAGACTGTTTCGCTGTTTACAGCTCATTAGTGCGGCTAGACATCCCCACAGACAGACTGTTTCGCTGTTTACAGCTCATCAGTGCGGCTAGACATCCGGTTGCCTCTAGCAAGGATCGAAACCCGACTAAATTGGTGTTAGTCGGAGCTTCTAACCACTAAGCCGTCGGCGCACGGTAGGAATGAAGGTGGATTTTTTAGCGTATTTATTTTTTGTAAACATGCCCAGTGACTGATAGTGACTCAATTCGCTTACGCGAAGAGTCTCGCTATATTAGCTATAATAGTCATTGTTTACCAACCCACACCTCTTTCCCAGAGTGCTCAACTGAAATCAAATTCAGGAGCAAATATAATGTCATCCACAGACAGACTGTTTAGCTGTTTACAGCTCATCAGTGCGGCTAGACATCCGGTTGCCTCTAGCTAGGATCGAAACCCGACTGAATTGGTGTCAGTCGGAGCTTCTAACCACTATTGGATGAAAAAGGTTGAGATCTCCAAGAAGGGTGCAATATTGGATGAGAAAGGTTGAGATCTCCAAGAAGGATCCAATATTGGATGAGAAAGGTTGAGATCTCCAAGAAGGGTGCAATATTGGATGAGAAAGGTTGAGATCACCAAGAAGGATCCAATATTGGATGAGAAAGGTCGAGATCTCCAAGAAGGGTGCAATATTGGATGAAAAAGGTTGAGATCACCAAGGAGGGTGCAATATTGGATGAGAAAAGTTGAGATCTCCAAGAAGGGTGCAATATCTGATGAGAAAGGTTGAGATCTCAAGAAGGGTGCAATATTGGATGAAAAAGGTTGAGATCTCAAGAAGGTTGTTATCTCCAAGAAGGGTGCCATATTGGATGAAAAGGTTGAGATCTCCAAGAAGGGTCAATATTGGATGAAAAAAGGATGAGATCTCTCCAAGAAATATTGGATGAAAAGGTTGAGATCTCCAAGAAGGGTGCAATATTGGATGAGAAAGGTTGAGATCTCCAAGAAGGGTGCAATATTGGATGAGAAAGGTTGAGATCTCCAAGAAGGGTGCAATATTGGATGAGAAAGGTTGAGATCTCCAAGAAGGGTGCAATATTGGATGAGAAAGGTTGAGATCTTCTCCAATATAGGATGAAAATGTTGAGATCTGTGCAATAGAAAAAGGTTGAGATCTCCAAGAAGGGTGCAATATTGGATGAGAAAGTTTGAGATCTCCAATAAGGGTGCAATATTGGATGAAAAAGGTTGAGATCTCCAAGAAGGGTCCAATATTGGATGAAAAAGGTTGAGATCTCCAAGAAGGGTGTAATATTGGACGTGAAAGGTTGAGATCTCCAAGAAGGGACAATATTGGATGAGAAAGTTGAGATCAATAAGGGTGCAATATTGGATGAAAATGTTGAGATCTCAAGGAGGGTGCAATATTGGATGTTGAGATCTCAAGAAGGGTGTAATATTGGATGAAAGGTTGACATTCCAATATTGGAAGGATCAAGATCTGGATGAGAAATGTTGAGATCTCAAGGCAATATTGGATGATGAAAAGTTTCAGATCTCAAGAAGGTTGCAATATTGGATGAAAAGGTTGAGATCTCAATATTGGATTGGATGAAAAACGTTGAGATCTCAAGAAGGGTCCAATATTGGATGAAAAGGTTGAGATCTCCAAGAAGGGTGCAATATTGGATGAGAAAAATTGAGATCTCCAAGAAGGATCCAATATTGGATGAAAGGTTGAGATCTCCAAGAAGGGTGCAATATTGGATGAGAAAGGTTGAGATCTCCAAGGAGGGTGCAGTATTGGATGAGAAAGTTTCAGATCTCCAAGAAGGTTGCAATATTGGATGAAAAAGGTTGAGATCTCCAAGAAGGGTGCAATATTGTATGAGAAATGTTGAGATCTCCAATAAGGGTCCAATATTGGATGAAAAAGGTTGAGATCTCCAAGAAGGGTGCAATATTTGATGAGAAAAATTGAGATCTCCAAGAAGGATCCAATATTGGATGAGAAAGGTTGAGATCTCCAAGAAGGGTGCAATATTGGATGAGAAAGGTTGAGATCTCCAAGAAGGGTGCAATATTGGATGAGAAAGGTTGAGATCTCCAAGAAGGGTGCAATATTGGATGAGAAAGGTTGAGATCTCCAAGAAGGGTGCAATATTGTATGAGAAATGTTGAGATCTCCAATAAGGGTGCAATATTGGATGAGAAAAATTGAGATCTCCAAGAACGAAGCATAAAGATTTTAGAAGACGTGGAGAGAAGATAAATATAGACTGAAAACGAAGCTATTTATCGAACAAATACAAGATCAACAAAGGATTTAAGTCCTCTACATTTCCGGAAGAAATTGTTGGCGAAATTATCTGATTTGTATATCTAAAGAGATTTTAAAAGTTTTACAATGTATTCGGTGTAGACGGAGCCCGGAAACTCGGAAAGGAAGTCCGTCTAGAGAAAAGAAAATTCAGATTTGAAACCTCCACTGCCATATCCAAACATGAAAAATGCTATGGAAGTAAACCATGGCAGAAAACCAGCAATGGAGAACATTCCGGCAACTCCTGCAGCCACGATGACCTTGTATTCCTTTGAATCTTGTCGGCACGACCGAGAGGGTGGGGTATGTAGTCTGGGCAGAGCATAGCCTCCATATACCATCGCCCAGGCATTCGACCCGGGGAGCTCATTCCTATATTACTACCAAAGGACTGGATTTTTACCAAAGAAGGTACTATCTTTGTCTCGCGAGATAAACAGACATTTTCATCGCAAGTATTATTTGTTACCTTGACTTTATAAATTTAAGCGCAGTGCTAGATTGGCAGTTAGGTCTCATCATTTTACAGATGACACACCTAGATGTAACCATAAGTTCTATGCTAACAGTTTCTTCCCCTACTCTTCTCGCTTGTGGAACTCTCATCTGGCTTCTTGCTTTCTTGTCAACTTTGATCTTCAAAAATTCAATGTCATTCGATCTCGTCTGTCTATAACCTAAATAAACGCCCCCCTCTAGCTTATTAATCGCCCCATAATGTCCACTATCTTATTTTTGGGACGGTTGGTACTAATGTGTTAATTTGAATAATTGTATGAACAAAAATTTAGCATATTTGCTTATAGTTTAGTTTAGCGCTTCAAAAGATTTCTGCATACCAAACACTGCTTCAATTCCTTTACATTCTTCGTAATGTTTTTCATCTAGCCTTATATTCCGATCCATCCTTTTGTTTTGTAAAGTCCTGCCTAAAAACCAAAAACGAAACAACGAGGAAAAATGGCACCCGAAATACAATATAATTTATTTAAAATATTTCTCCCCTAATCTAATCTAATCTAATCTCCGTGGATAAAAATGTACAGATATATTGTTTCTATTTATCTAGGAGTATTATTTACAGCCAGCAAGTTTATAGAAACAGCAGAAATGAATTTCTGGGAAGCTTTTTTTTGCCTCCAGATACATTTTTTTTTATGTACAATAGGAATTCTCCTTAATGAGGACCAACTTCAATGTCGGATCATGTATGTGAAAGAAAAAGGGAGGTTGTAAAGAAGCAAGAATTATTTAGAGCAACAGCCGAGAGAGAGAGAGAGAGAGAGAGAGAGAGAGAGAGAGAGAGAGAGGTGGGGGGTTGATGGAGATAGGGAGAAGAAGGATGGGGTGAGCGATCGACAGAGAGAGGGAGACAGGGAGACAGGGAGAGAGAGAGAGTGAAAGAGAGAGGAAGGAAGAGAATAATGAAAATCGTATCAAAATATTTCTATTTCTCTTGGAAGTCGTGGAGAGCCATTATCACCCATCTTCTAAAAGACATAGGCACTTCAGCGTGGTTAGCAAGCTTGTCTCGCCAGATCAGTTACAACTGAATAGTAATTTCTTTCCTCACTGGATGCCCCAAACTTTTGGCCTTGTGCCGTATCTAAGCTACGCTTAGAAAATCACCATCTCTTAGAAGATACATAGCAGAGAGAGGCAGCAAAATATGGGGATATAGAGAGAAAGGGAGAAGAGAGAGAGGGGGAAGGGGGAGGAAGAGTGGGAGATAGAGACAGAAAGAGAGAGAGAAAGAAATGGGAGAGAGTGGGAGATAGAGAAATGTAGAAGGAGAGAGAGGGAGAGAGACATCAGGAGAGAGAGAGAGAGAATAGGATAAAGAAAATTGTATCGTTTTAGGTAAAATGTATTTCTCTTCAAATTTACGATTCTTGATTAATAAGTAAAACAAACACATGTGTCAAAAGGAGAAATTTTAACGGGGACTAGAAGTAAAAGAAGGAAAGAAGGCTTGGAGAGTTTAACACACACAAGCAAGAAAATCTTGGGAAAACACCGAATAACCTCGTTGCGTCTTAGTGACGTTATCGCCCTGCTTGTGGTGAATTGATAAAAATAAATTTACGCAATCTTCTATTACCTTTTCTTAACACTCTGTTTTTTAATACTCTGTTTAGCTTCTGGAAGGCATCTTCCATATTTCAAATGTGGGTTCAGATTTTTGTGTTACATTTTCCATCGTTTATTATAAGATTTCTCAGATTTCTGCCGTTTTCAATTCGTAACTTACATTTTCGTTTGCCCCTTTTACTGACGACTATATATTCTTCTTATAATGAATAGTTAGTCCTTTCTTCTCACTTTCCTTTATTGCCTTATCCAGGATCCCCTGCAGTTTCTTTTCTTTCACAGCGATCAACAGTGTTATCTGTGTATTTTATATTGATAAGATTGTGCTCGCACATAATAAAATCCTGACAGAACGTCTTATTTCTTCTTGCTGCCCAAGTTAAATAAAACCAGTGAGAAGAATCTTCATTGCTTTACGCCCATTACTATTTTTTCTTTTCTTTCTAGGCTTACTCACATTCCCGGGCCATCATTATGAAGGGTAAATATTTTTCGTGTGGTTCTCAGTACTTTGGGTTCAGTTGCCATCGATTTATGGGTTACCAAGAGAATTTCAGTTAGTTTCTTGCAACGTGTTTTATTTACAGGGAAATATGCTAATTTGTTACACACATGCATATATACATATTATGAAAATGGACAAAGTCCGACAATTATTTTAAGGCATTTTTATGTTGATACATTCTTTTTTTTTATAGATACAAATAATGTATTGAGTTGGTGCATAATTATCAGGCGTTTCGATAATAAATATCGTTTAACGCCTGATAATTATGCACCAACTTAATATAGTTGTGCGTGTCTGTATATATATATGTTTATATTTTTAAAGACATTTTTATGTTTGTACATTCTTTTTTTAGAGATATACATATATAAAAATTTACATACTCGGTTTTAAAAAATTCTGCATAATATCTAATAGAATATCTGAAATCTAAAACATTTCGACAGTTTTTACACACTTTATGTCCAGAACAGAAAACAAAAAATGTACGAAAAGAAAGATTGAATAAAAGCTTAACCACAGTACCTTGTCCAACGTCTTTAATGAAACTTGTATAAAAGAAGAATTATATATATATATATATATATATATATATATATATATATATATATATATATATATATATAGGTGTATCAAAAATACTTTTACAAACTTTGGGGCGGGTTCCTCACACCAAAATAAGGACAAAAGTCCATATAAACATGTCCAAAAAGCCATCGTTGTACCTCAACACAGGTCATAAAAAAAATATTCAAAATATCCTCCGCTTGCTTCTACACACGCATGCACCCGTCGGATCGTTGACTGGCGGACCCTTTCAAATACTCCCACACGGTGTCGAATGGTTTCGCAGGCCCCCATGACACGTTGATGAAGCGTCTCTGCATTATTAATGTCTGCTGCATAAACCAATTATTTTAGGTAGACCGACAGATAAAGATCCAAAGGGATGAGGTCGAGGCAACATGCAGGCCATGGAACCTGTCCTCCCCTACCTATCTATCTGTCATGGTATATATCAGCCATTGCATCGCGAACAATGTGACTAAAATGTACTGGATTCCCATCATGCATTTACAACACGCGTCTTCGAATTAGCAGGTGTACATCCTCTAGCAAGTCATGAAGTGTATTCTGTAGACAGCTCCTGTAAGACATGCTGGGAGAACATATGGACCTACCAGACAGTCACCTAAGATTCCAGCCCACACATTAATCGTAAACTGATTCTGGTGACTAGCCTATATTGTACCATGGGGATTCCGATCCGCCCAAAACTGTTGGTTGTGTAAATTTGTTATGCTATCTCTTCTAAATGTCGACTCATCTGTAAACAAGACTGCCTGGAGAAACAAAGGATCAGCAGTTTCTGCAATGAACCATCGGCAAAAGTTCTCCCATGGCGAGTGATCAGAGGGCGAAAGACTCTGCACGCGTTGCAAATAATACGGATACAAGAGCTGCTCTTGAAGTACTATCCATGTGCCACTTGATATGTGCTGATACCTGTATAATGTGTTCTTCATGGTCAGGCATACGAGCATATCGTAGTCTTCCTCGATCCATAGTTTATGGTGCCAAAGATCTTGTCTCAGGAACACGATGACAAACAACAGCAAAGATTGGATGACTCGGCTGTCGTACGTGTAGAAACGCAATTTCATACAGCCTAATCGCATCCATTACTATTCGCGTGGCCGTATGTAAAAATCATATCTGCTTGCTCACGATATGAAAATCCTGTCATTGTTAAATGGACTACTTCTCAGTTAACTCACTGCTACACACGTTAAACGTTGAAAACAGACAAGCCACAAATGTACACGAATGACAAATGTAACCTAGTCTATATGGCAACACAGCGACATTTACGTAAACTTAATAACTCAAAAACGAAAGATTTGCGAACATGTGTTTATATGGACTTTTGTTGTTTGGTGTGAGGCACCCGACCCAAATCTTGTAAAAGTATTTTTGGTACATACCGTATGTATACAGGTTCATTGAAAAGTAACTCCCTACTGCATGTATGGCAGGCCAGTCAGGGGTCCTGTCTTAAAACCTTAAGATTTTTGTTTTTCTTTGGGGTTGGTTAAAGGAGCAAGTCTACCATACCAAACCAAGACTTTGGAAGAACTTGAAAAGTGAATACAAAAAGTTATGTCTTCCATACCACAAGAGTTCCTGGTGAAATCAGCTGACGCAATTTCTGAGCAGCTAGAGAAGCTGGTAGCGAAATCTGGTGCCTATATTGAATTTTAAATAAAACCTCATTCAAACCGCTTTCCTTTCATATGCATTTCTTGTAAAAATTATAGTTAAGAAATAAATTATAAGTATTTTAAAATGGAGAGTTACTTTTGTATCACCCTGTATATCTCTTGGCCTTAATGTAGTCGATTTTTTCATCTTTACAGATTACATACTGACAATAGGTGCTTCAGTTATTTAAATGTACATTTTTCTTTTGCTTTTTTTTCTCATCAATCCTACTTGTTGCCTTATGTATTTCTCAGTGGCTAAATAGGCAAACTCTATTTCTCTTTGAAGTCGTGGAGAGCTATAATCACCCATCTCCTAAAAGAAATAGGCACGTCAACGTGGTTTAATGGTTAGCAAGCTTGTCTTGCCTGATCAGTTACAATTGAATACTGATTTCGATCCTCACTGGACGCCCCTAACTTTTGGCCTTGTGCCATATCTAAGCTACTTTTAGAAAATCACTATCTCCTAGAAGATACATAGCAGAGAGAGGGAGCAAAATAGAGGGAGATAGAGAGAAAGGGAGAAGAGAGAGGGGGGAAAGAGTCGGAGATAGATAGAGAGAGAGAGAGAGAAGAGAGAGAAAGGGAGGGGAGAGAGTGGGAGATAGAGAAATATAGAAGGAGAGAGAGACAACGGGAGAGAGAGAGAGAGAGAAAAAGAGAGAGAGAGAGAGGATAAAGAAAATTGTATCGTTTTAGGTAAAATGTATTTCGCTTCAAATTTCCGATTCTTGATTAATAAGTGAAACCAGCACATGTGTCAAACGAAGAAATTTTAAGGAGACTAGAACTAAAAAGAAGGAAAGAAAGCTTGGAGAGTTTAACACACATAGGCAAGAAAATCTTGGAAAAACACCAAGTAACCTCCTTGTGTCTTAGTGGCGTTATCGCCCTGCTTGTGGTGAATTGATAAAAATAATTTTACGCAATCTTCTATTACATTTTCTTAACACTCTGTTTCTTAATACTCTGTTTAGATTCTGGAAGGCATCTTCCATATTTCAAATGTAAAACCAGCACATGTGTCAAACGAAGAAATTTTAAGGGAACTAGATCTAAAAAAGGAAAGAAGTATATAGAGTCAGTTGTTTGGCTTGCACCCTCTCTCTCACCATCCCTCTCTCTAGCTTCCTCCAAGAAATGATGCTGCTACGCCCGTGCCCCCACATTGAAATAAAGTAAGGAAAGGAAACCCCTAGAAAATTTTTTCGTGGTTTATTCAGTTTGTGGTGCAGCGTTGGGGCCTGAAGAATTGCCAGTAAACTATGAGAAGACACAAACGGCAGGTAAGGCAACAGAAACATCAAGTCCGAGCCAGAAAGCTAATTTTCCTGGCATTAATCAAAGGAAAATTAAATTTGTCAGATAACGGATGTTACTGAACCAGATGACCACGGGGACAGAGGGGGCCGTGGGAGCATCGACTGACACAGATAACGTTACAAAAATATGTCGTAATTAAACTAGTGTTGTTACGTATTTCTTGGATCAGACAATGATAACTTAAAGAAAAGTTTTGATCGGAATCCTTTTTTCTCGAATTTCGTATAGGTAACGATTAAGAAATGCTTTTTTTCCAGTTTTTGTTGTTGTTGTTGTTATGATTAAATAATTATTTGGTTATTCTCATTCTGGCTGGAGGCCAGAAATATAAATCACTTTTGCATATCAACCATCAAACAGAAGAAAGCGTTTTCAACTGCCAGTGGTTAGTAAAAAACAAACATAAAAAAACATTCTGCCTGATTACATCGTTCCGATTCGACTTATACTCAATGTCATGGAAGTTTTCACACTTGGCAGACGTATATCCTGTAAGTAGAAAAAAAAAACTGATTCATAGATTATCGGTTAAGGTTTGTTTATATCAAATCGTTTGTGACTAACAATGAATGAGGTTACCTTATATTAAATTGTCTGTGTCCAACAGGGGTGGAAATTAACTTATTTGAAATCGTATAAGTTGTATAATAAATGAAGTTGACGTATTTCAAATCAACTGGTTCAGGAAAAAAAAAGCAAGGATGTTCGCTTATTTCAATTCTGCATTGCCTTACTGTGAATCATTTCTGTCGAACAATAAATATAGTTTTCTCATGCCAATTCGGTTGGATCAAGCAATGATTACAGATTCCTTATTTTAAACCTCTGTCCAACGAAATCTTATTTAAAAGTGTATATCTCCATCAAGGAAAAATAGTTTATTGCAAATCGTCTCAGGCCAGCAATGAGCGATATGTCCTTTATCTCAAATTTGTGTCTAACGTGTTTATTTTATTCCAAATTCCTTATGTCAAACGGGGAAATAGAGACGATTCTAGTTGTTACAGGTTGATGATAGGGATTATAGTTCCATGTACCCCAATTACGATTGATATTAGGGTACAGCAGCGTAGTACATAGTTTCATTTGGGTTCAATTTGCCCAGAAATGGTTTTAGACACATTATGTCAAATGGTTTGACCTAACGAATCCAGTTGAACATTTATGTGAGGTTTTACGGAGGCTTATTTATATGCACCTATAAATATCAGTAATCTGTGGGAATTGCCGCTTTTTGAGGGACCGACACGATAATAGGCATCTATTCCAGGACTTTTGGCACGTCAGGGTCAGGCTGCATACGGGCATATGAAGGATATTTTATATATAATACTTAGCATAATTTGAAGGTATTACGAAACAATAAGGTTTTGTCGGAAAAAAAGAGAAAAGAAAACTGCTACCTGCTATGTAATATCAACGCACTTATATGGCAATGAATGGTGGATAATCTATTTATAGATAAAGAGAAATAGTATGGTAGCAATGGTGTGCTTCTACGGAAGGAGGCAGAGTGTTCAAAGGTCGGAACATGTGAGCAACAAGTTCTAGGACACGAAATGAAGAAAGAATGCTTGGAAAATGTGACACTCAAAGGACATATTGATGAGAAAACAGAGAGAAATCGATCTAACGAACTTGTGTAAGGGATCACAGAACACACATACGCACAGACAGAGAGAGAGAGAGAGAGAGAGAGAGAGAGAGAGAGAGAGAGAGAGAGTAGAAACATAAATATTGCTAAGCGGTACAAAAGATAGGAAGCTGTGGAGTGCCATGATCAACCTACCTAATGAGCTTGAGTAAATGATTAGCAGAACAGGGACATTGACGAAAAGTAAAAAGACAAACATTGCTAAAAATTACGAAGGATAAGAAGTTGTGAAGAGCCATGATCAACCTACCTAATGAGCTTGAGTAATTGGATGGTAAAACAGGAACAGCCAGAGAGAGTAGAAAGACAAACGTTAATAAGAACTACAACAGATAGGAAGTTGTAGAGAGCCATGATCAATCTACCTAATGAGCTTTAGTAAATGGATGGCTGAACAGGGACAATAACGGAGAATAAAAAGAAAAATATAGCTACAAATTATAGGAAGTTGTGAAGAGCCATGATCACCTATCTAACGAGCTTGTGTCAATGGATCGCAGAGCAGAGGATGGGAAGGATAGTAAAAAAGACAAACTTTGCTAAGAGCTACAAAGGATAGGACGTTGTGAAGAGCTATGAACGCCTACGTCCTGAAGGGACGTAGAAGAAGAATAATTGTCGTGAAAGCCACCACATCGAACTAGTGCGAAAAGCCGCTGAATACACAGGATGGTAGGTGAGCCCATCTGAAGAGTCTTGCAATGCAAGTGAAAGCCTTGGAAATCTGAGAACGACGAACATCATCCAGATGGCGTCATTACAAAAACAATTTAGATTTCTTAGTACAAATTCTGGAGTACGAAGGTGACTTGCTGTCTCTTGATTCTCAGCGAGAAGCTCCGACTATTGCTGGCGTAAAAATCGACCAAAAAAAAAAAATGTTACAAATAAAAAAAAATTAATCAAACAAACATTTTTAAATGGTAACTTTTTGGCATCATACAACACAGAGCGCATTTATTTTACCACCGCTTCGACTGCAGCGAGCCGACGCGCCACCTATTGCCCGACAGGTGCATAAATTTTGGCAGAGTTAATGCTGTTAAGTAAGCACTCTGTCTATCGTAATTACAGTTGAACAAAACTCATCATATCTTCATTATCAATTAGCTCCATCGACAGGATGTTTTTACGGGCATGCGCATAAATGTGGTTATGTCACATCCGGTCGTAAGGCATGTTTTATATCAATTTATTTTGATACTGTCTAGTCTGCTACAAGGCCGTTTAAGAAACTTTTGCAGAAGGACGGGAATATTTTGCAAGAAACGGAGAACATTTTTTTTCCTTTAAGAGACCATGAAAGATTTTTTTTTAATTTCCATTTCCATGGTTGATGCTAACCCCCAGAAGAGTGGCTCATTACACCTGGAAAGATTATATTAAATCAATTGCTAGGTCTGCCGCTAGGAAAGTTGCTTCACTGTGTCGTCCTAGACAATTGCCAGAAGCTATCTTACATATATATAAGTCTACCATTCCTCCTTTCTTAGAATTTTGCTGTCACATCTGCTCTGGTGCTGCTATTTATAGATTCTTGATAAAATTCAAAGAAGAATCCGCAATGTTATTGGCCCTAACCTGACATCTCGGCTCTAGTCATATTTCCACTGCCATAACAGTGCCTTTTCTATAAACAATTTCATAGTAATTATTCTGAAGAACTTTCCGTATATAAATTGTAATCATTTTAAATATTCAATGAGGTTTCATTTTAAAAAGTTGTTATTTTTATCGCCACCTAAAGACTAATAGTAACTATGGGAACTAGTTAGGATTTCATAGAGATTCTGAGGTATTATGGTGATTGTAGTAAGAATAGTAAGTAAAAATGTGTTTGTTTTGATGTAAGGAATGCTGTTGTATATTTTTATCAGTGGTTGTGGCTAGCTAATAAGACAGATTGAAGACTAGCCTTACCTCAGCCCCCTTTTTAGCCTTATACCATATTTTTCTATTTGCAAAATAAATATTAGTTTACGCTATGGTAACTAGATATTATAAAAATTAAGAGCAGTACTAGATTGGCAGATAGGTCTCATCATTTTATATTTGAAATGGCTAGATGTAGCCTGACCATCTTCAGAGCATTTTATTAAATACCCAAAAGAACAGTTTTTGGGGGAAAGGTCTTCTTGGCCAGACCGAAACATCTCGTCACTTTTCATCTCTTTCCCACTTTTAGTATATAAATGGTAACTGTAATAGTATATTAGATGTTTCCCTATAAGGAAACATTTGGCTAAACGCTTTACTATTAAAGTTTATAAAGTCTTTCTCTTAATACAATCTTTCAGGAAAATAGGTTTTCAAGTCCAGTAGCTGTTATTGCTCTTTCCACTATTAATGGCTTGAACTAAATATATTTTGAACGCAATTATATGCTTTCAACTACAGATAAAATGTATTGTTGGTCATTTTACTATAAAATGTATTGTTGGTAATTTTTATATAATAACTTATTGCTAGTATTTTTACTACACAAATGTATTTTTCTACACTTTCATCGTGTTTTGTTTTTGATTTGGGTTTTACTTTGCCCATAGCTGGGACCCTAACAGATGCTACGATACCGAGTCAGGGCGGACCTGGGAACAACAGCAATTAAGAGGTGGTTCAATGCTCCTCAAAATCTCCAATCTCCCGATCAGAGGCCTTTGCTGCCAGATATAGTTTATCGTCATACCCAGGACTAGAAAGATGAAGAAGACAAATTTGAAGAACGTCTTGTTTTAAGTGATGAGGGCTACATCTCATACGAAAAGCAAAGATATGTACCGTGTCTTTTGAATTTCTCATTGAAAATTTGATGACTAAGTCTTACTTTGCTCAACTATAAGCGTGTTTAATTTTTGTCTTATATTCGGACTCTTGTTATCACTTCTCTTTCTGTTTTCGGCCTTTGTGCCCTCCGGCCTTCGTACGGGACAATGGCCTAGATGATAAAGCATTGCTTTGTGAATTTGGTGACATACTGATTGTGAGTTCAATCTCTGGACCAGGCACCCTGTACTTTCACACAGTGGAAACGGACGAGCAATTGACTGAACACTACTAAAAATAAGGACTAGACGAGATAACCCTAGACATGAGCAGTGGAATGAGAACCGTCTATCCCCGTAGATTAAATAAAGGGTTCAGTTCAGAATTCCCTATAGCTTATCCAGATCTGTACATACCTGATGAAGGCCTGAGGGAACAACGACCGAAACGTTATGGTAATAACAACACAGATGAGGGAAATAGTCCGAATATAAAGAGGGTAAATAATTATATAAGTCTGTTTAGTTTCATTTGACGAGACTATGAAGTTACTCAGATATTTACATCAGAAATGATTTGAAATTTTTTGAAACACCCTGTGTATTTGGGTCGTTGAATTTTGCTTCTGGAAGACATTATGAGCTGCAAATTAAAACTTTATTGAAAACTAGCTTTCTTTTTTTTTTCATATTGTGACAGTTGCCATATCATTTTACAATTTTTAAAGCCGAAACATATTACTCACCTTACAGAAACTGCTTCGGAATCCTATCGCCCTTCGTCATGAACAAATGACCATCATAACTGGAGGTAAAGTACAGGAGACGTGCATACACTTTTTTTTAAGCGTTTCACCCCCAAGCAGGCGGGGAAGCTACTATTACGCAGGGGTTACAGAGAGTTAGAGCAAATAGGGATTGATAGAGGAAAGGATGAAGAGAAGGATGCAGGGGTAGATCAAGGCATCTGGAGACGTCGATTGACATTACATTTGAATAGTTGGAGATTTATAGGGGAAACAGGAAGGGGAGGGGAGTTCACAGGCGAGAAGTGCGAGACATGGAAGCTATTGGAGTAAGAAGAGACGGCTACATTTAACAGTTTCGACAGTGAAAGGGTGTGAGCGAGATGCCAGCCTAGTAGAAACATGAAGTTTGGGAACCAGCGAAAGCATCTCATCGGAGCAGTTACCGTGAAAATTTGTAAAAAAGACAGAGGGAGGCGACAGCACATCTTTTATAGAGCAATTGCAGACGAGATGTCAGATCAGGGTCAATTACATTGCATATCTGTCTCTGGATTTTAGCAAGAACCTCGAGACAAACAGAAGGAGCAGCAGACCATATATGTCAGCAATACTCCATGCAAGGGCGAATGGTTGATTTGTAGATTTGAAGGATCGATTTCGGGGAGAAAAATTTCCTGGCGCGGCACAGGGAGCCAACTTTCCTTGCGGTGGACGAAGCTATTGACTCAATGTATTTGTTCCATCTCAGGTCAGCAGTCAATGTGAGACCGAGCAGTCGCAAAGAGGTGCTCTCGTGGAGTTGAGCGTCAGACATTCTAATGGGGGGGGCAGGGATGGTTCTCTGTGGTGAGTAATAGAGAGCAGTTTTGTTTTTGAGGCATTAAAGTTAATTAACCAATTCCTGTCCCAGTTCATAACTGATTGGTGGTCCTTTTCGAGACAAACAGCCAGGTTAGTTTTGTCGGCGCGCGTTACTTGTTATGACTGCCGTCTCTTTTCGGTGCCTATGACCCCTAAGATGATTCTTGAAACCAGCAATCGATTCCATTGGTATCATGCATGTATTACACATAAACTCTGCAACTTTGATTGGGTTGATTGGATCTGCAAGCCCTACAATTCTTCCGTGTATTGCCATGTGCTTCCTAAGTTCAGATGATGTTCTGCAAACCTTGTTGCAAACAACATATGTATTGTTGTCAAGAAGATGAGGCAGGTTGGCTTGCTTCTGATTGTTATGATGACCTTTTGAGACGGTTTAACATAATCTGCCCTCGACAACAGTATGTGCTAACACAACACCACATATACAAGACAGCATATTAGCTGGCAAATCAGAATGAGTGCCTCTTCGTAGATCACACTTGATCTGAGCATGCCTGAGACATTCATCCTTAAGGGCGTTGCATCACTCCTTAATAAATTTACTCCACTCTGTACGATTTAACGTCAGTTCTTCCTAATGCTGCAAATCCATGTACAATGCATTCGAATTATCCTCCAGATTATCCTTAATCCTCTCCCTTGGCTTGTGTTGCGAACGCTTTCATATATACATACATAGTGA